ACTAAGTTTCAGGAGATAAAACTGACCGTCAGGCGATACCTTCAATGGATATTTTAGCAGAAGATACGTCAGGACGTCAATGCTTCAGCTTGGCGCTTTGGCAAGAGAGTATTCTGGGCGTAGCATTTTATCTCTTTATCTTTCACAAATTGTACGATAAATACAGAGGCACAACAGGCTTGTATCTATACTTTGTTTCCACTTAAGTCCAGACACAATGAGCTAATAGTCCTAGTCAAGCAGCGTCAAAAGCTCGGGTCACTGGGTCCTTCTTGTTTATGATTGGTTCAGCGAAGATAAAACGCGTGCAGAAACATGGCGAACAACATGATGGTACGATTTTGACGCTGTCTGGCTGGTCCCTTCAGCGCGTAGCCTCGGTTGCGTCTGGACTTAAAGTAAAACGAAGAACGGTCGCCTAATTAATCGAAGATGTGCGTGAGACGTCATACCCAGTGTTTCATTGAACAGCCGTTCTACCAGTATTTTTACGACAATTATTGCCTCATCAATATTATACAGGGTGTTTGTTTTTAATTCAAACAGATTTATTACGCAAAATGCGTTAAAGGTACACTCATTTTTAATTAGTGAAAATATACAGATGGTTTCAATTAGAAAGTTGCTGAGCCTCATCAAAAAACACTAAATCGGGTAGTTTTAGAACGACTTGAAGCTAGTGGGAAACACAGGGGGGTTCCCCGAAAATACCACTCACACAAAAGGCGCAAAGCAAGCAGTGGAGAAACGCGGATGATAATCTAATCAGCCGTGTTTCCCCACCGCTAGCCTTGCGCCTGCCGCACGAGTGGTAACTTTGGTGCACCCCCAGCGTTTCTCACGTGCTTCAACTGGTTCTAAACGTTTAGTGTTTCTCTTTTATGACGCTTAGCACGTTTCTAATTGAAACAATATGTGTATTTACACTAGTTAATTAGTTAATTTTAAAAATTAGTTCATTATTTGACTTATAGTAAAAATGAGCCGCGTATATAATGTCCCCCTGGCCGTGTACCTGTACAAACCGCATTAGTGTACCATTTACGGGTGTTTTTGTAATGAATCTATACGAATTAAAATCAAACACCTTGTTCAACTATGCACAGTTTTCATACGACTATATTTCGCGGTGATTATGCTTACTGAATATTTCTGTGTACTGGTTCTGGGAAGGGGGATCGGTGGCCGAATGGGTTCATGCACCTCAGCTCGGAGCACTAGTTGCAAAAGCCAGCGCTGCACAACCCAGGGATCCAAACCCCCACCCCTGCCCGTTTCGATCTGGGTGAGCATCGTACCGGCGTGCGGTCGCGTATCACTACCGCGTGGTGCACGTTCAACATCCCAGGCTAGCAGTTGTACTGCATTGGCTAAATTTCTCCTCTGCAGCTGAGGGGCTCATTAAGGCTGACTAATTTCCGGTTGTATAAACGTACATACAACACAATTATTATTATGTGTGTAAAGTGTACATCATAGAGGGAGGCTGTAGGCCACACGCGTGCTGGGGGTATTGCAGGTCGCACGTGAATGCATTGGAGTTCTGTATGTACTGTTGGTGTCAGGTCCTTTACCTATTCAGCAGCGAAGATCGTGTGAAGTGTCTTTTGTTTAATGCAAGAAGTTTCCAGGGTTCTGGAATTTAATGCTATTTATAGAAACATAGGACTGAAAAAACAGATCAAGAAAGGACCATCGTAAATTTGTTCGAAGACTTAGTCTAAAAAAATGTTTCAAGCACTTGCACCTTCTATAGGATTTAAGAAAAAAATCTTTAGATAGTTATCACTAAATAAACATAACACGCTGTTTCGATTTTTTTTTTTTTTTTTTTGGATAGTGTTAAAAAGCGAAAAACAAGTTTCGATTTCAGGAAGTGAATGGCGTCCAGTGACATAACCCATCAGCGAGTCGTGCTAACCGTAGCCACTTCGCAAGCAACAACGTGTGAGGGGAGGTGACGTAACGAACAAGGAAAAAACAGTACTCACCACACGCGCCGTCCCTGAGGACAGTTCCGTGTAGGAAACCTCCCCACCGCACGAACACCCAGTCCATTTTCCTCGGTGCAAAGCTGGCCTTGTTACAGAAACCCACGCTGCCAATGGGCCCCAACAAAGCAAGCACGCGAGCCCCGTTCTTGCTTAATGACTGCTACCGCCACACCTCGACCCAGGGTCATCGAGTCCAGAATGTCGTCTGTTCCGTTTTACAAGGTGTGTGCAGCGCTGTCCGAAGTAGAGGCGCGAGAACGCATCTCTGCAAGCTGCTTTTCTCGCACAGCTCTCGAAAGCGCACATTCGCACAATAACACTTAGAAGACAAGGCCTGGATTCGTGCAGCGTTTCACAACGAGCTCGACGCGAGCACGTGACGACGCCCCTGTAGGCGGGGGGGACAAAACATCAAGCAATAACCATTAGAGAAAGTATAAAAACAAAAAAAAAAGGTCATGAACTACTTCAGACTGAAATAAACAGGCGAATTAAAATAAACTAAAAGAAGGAACAATGTAAAACATTGTAACCATCGGCAACAATCAGTCTGTCAGTCACATTGTATCGGCTCACACGCAAAAAGAATCTAAAAAAAACAAAACCGAACACCGGGAACTAGACCATGTGGACATCCAGAGCTTTATTCAAATCATTAAGACCATCACAAAATACGTGTTTATCCCACATTAAGCTAATTGCCACATGTGTTGGCAATGCATTCTTAGTGGCCTTTATTTTAGCAGACGTCGATAATACCAGTTCATTGAACCCTCCGATTCATTGAATTTTGCTCGTTGGGGCGGCTGGTGAGCTCTGTCTACCTCGGTGCACTGAGCTTTTGGTGTAGATTCAAAGTGATCCCTGGTACAGCAGTGCAAGAGCTTCTTCAGCAGCACTTCAAGAGAAGATGTAAGGGGGGAGGTTAGCGACAGAAATGTAAAAAAGTTTCGTTTTAGATTCCGCGTTGTGCTCACTTCGCAAACGAACGTCTTGTCCTTTATTGCATCGGTAGGACATCTCGCGCCGTACCGTCGTCAGGTCGCAGAATGGAATATGGTGGAAAGTTGAACGAGTTGGTTGTACATGTTTAACGAAAAAAGTAAAACAGCACAAAAAAAAAAAAGGAGAACGAAGAGACGAGGTGTACAAACAGAGCGCTGACTCGCGACTGATTTATTGGAAGAAAACACAAATCGACAAGCATCACGAATCCTCAAAACACAAAAAGTCACCGTCCCCCGCACTTGCCAAACCTGCTCAAAAATGCCAACTCTTTGTCAAATAATGCGATGGAAGGTGAACTGACGCACCTTTCTTTTTGCTTCGAAATATAAAAAGCCTCTAAACTTTTTCTGGTCATCTGTTGAATGTGTTGTCCCAAGATACTAGATTTATCAAAAACGAGTTTGCAACCGCGCCTATCACAGTGTACTGCCAAGTTGTCAGCTGGTCAGCTGGCGATAATCTAACTGATAGAGCATGCTCTCTTAACCTCTCGTCCAGAGAGGTAAAGAGAGCTTGATGTTTTTTGAGGATTCGCGATGCTTGTCGGTTTTTGTTTTCTTCCAATAAATCAGTTCAGAATCAGCGCTCTGTTTGTTTTGTACACTTCGTCTTTTTGTCCTTTTTTTGCGCTGTTTTACTTGTGCGTTAAACATCGCTGGATGGAGCTTGAACTCATTCGCGAGCGCGGCGTTGTCGTTCATCTCTCTTGGCATGTTAACGATGGCGACAACTAATATGGCTGCCTTTACGGAGCGCCGTGCAGCTATAACTCACCGGGGCCACCGCGCTCACCGTCTAATAAATCATACCGAAACCAACAGGTCACTGTGGACGTCACTTGCTTTTTCGAAGGCCCGAAAAACGCGAAAGTGGAAAGTTAGTTTCGATTTTGACAGTTCGTTTTCAGGTACGTACAGTAATAAGCGCATGACATAATTTTGGTGGAAATTAGAAGAGTGATAAGGCGTCAAAGGCTTATCTTTAAAGAAACTTTTCAGCATTTTCATTTTCTTCTTAAAAACGTTGTTCGGAAGTTTTTGGCCAGTTAAGCATGTGAATACGTGGAGACGAATGGACATATCCCAGCTACCCGAATCGTACTTTTAAACGCTTCAAAAACGCTTCTAGTTTTTAATTACATTTAATTTGTTCTGGATATGCACACAGTGTCCCACTCACAGTTCATTACATTCGGACGAAAAGCTCTAGGTGATGAATATGATTGATCCATCTGCGGTACGAAAATCGCGGTTCGATGTTGAAGGTTGACACCCCTTTATGGTTTTACAGATATTGACGTAACCGCAGCACCATGTCCACGAAATTGGTTTGTGCATCTTCTAAACGCTCGATTGTGTGTCTCGCTCCTCAGACATTACAGACTAAATGTAGTTGATGGGGCACCGAAAGAAGTGAAGAGCCTTCTCCGTCCTCTAACTTGCGTGATGTCTTCATAAACCAGCAGCGGTAGAAACCTGAGCACGCAAGTTTGTGGAACATATGGGACACACACAACGACCTTGCAAGAGCGAGCTCGTGCAGGCGTATCGTATAGCAAGAAAATAAAGCCTTCAAAAACAGCAAGAAGTCAACGACCAGAGGAATTCTACATCAGCCTGGAGCTGAAGTCTATAAGCGAAGCACCGGCAACTACTCTAAAGTTGCATTCGCACTGCTGATATCATCATACAAGAGAGACGGTATTCATAGCAGAGACGATGACAGGATTATCAGCCGACAAGGCCCACGCATGTTAGAAGCATTTTGGCTTCATTCAAATGTATCATTTGAAGATACCAGCAGACAGTTTTTATGTGGTCAATGTGACAGACCGTCATGCAAGGAAGAAACATGCCTCAGACAGTTCATACGGACTTTTGTTGAGCGATAAATGTGCAGCGTGACCGCAGTTTACGGTTTCCGGGAGACTCGTCTCCAAGTTCTTCCTACCAGTTTCGATCACTCTTTTGTGGTTTGCCTTAACCTGCTCAGTTCAAATCCGACCCCAACGAACTAGCAGACGACGACGCCGCGAGGGACGTGCGCAACAACCGCTCCTCTGGTCCTGGCCGGACGCGCCGCGCTCCGAGGGCAGGCTCGTCCGGACACCAGTTCTGCCGGCCGCAAGGGCGTGGGGCCTCCTCGGTGTGGAAACAAGTAAACGGTCCGGAACAAGGTGAGAGCGCCCGGATCCGAGAAGAGAGTGGCGGGAAAGAAGGCGGCGGCCCGCCCTCTCTTCAGGAACGGTGCCGTGCAGGCGTGGAGCAGCGCCGGTCAGTCAGTGCGCGTTGTGCAGCCTCCCGGAGTACGTGGATTTCCAGTCCCCTCCATCCCACCCGACCCATCCCCGACAACACCCGAGGAGTTTTTCGGTGCGACCATGTCCGGCGGCCAAGTGACGAGTCCCATGTCAACCACGCTGGTGCTGGTGCTTCTCGCGGCGGTCGCGGCCGTGGTCGGCTTCCCGCAGGGGGGCCCCGCGGAGTCCTGCGACTCGATGCTTCCGAGGCACGTGTACACGCAGCCCAAGCCCGCGCACGAATCGCCCTACACCTTCGTGGCGTCAGCGAGCCGCTACTCCTTCCAGAACGTCGACGGGATCCAGGGTGAGTTGTTGAGGCGTGTTGGGACGCGGGGGTAGGAATACCTTGGTGTAAGGATGTCAGATCGGCGGATTACGGATGAAATGATCTCATCATTTTTATCAGATTAATAAAAAAATTCTTTATTCTTATAATTTAAAGTTAATATTTCGATTTGATTTTCAATATCGTGGCCGTTTACCTAGCTCATTTGTAAGAAAGTATTGTTGTTTTACGCATAGAGTTGGTTGGGTATAGTCAAATTGTATCTTGATTTCGACATCCAAACTATCGGTTTGCTAAAGCGAATATGATTTCAAGATAATTTCTGACATCACCCATCATGCCATCATGCAAGAGCACTTGATTCATATTTTATGCATGGAATTTTGTTGAAGTGAAGCAATCGCCGATTTTTACACGCATCGGCTAGTCAAACAGCTCAGCCGATCTCAGTATGAGTCTCCAAGCACGGGCCGACACTTCTACAAATGTCGGAGCACTTCTTTAAAAATTCGGACATGAAATTCACAGTAGAAACCTTCTGCCCTGATATTTTAGTGCTCCAAAAATATCCCCTATTTTCCCCCCAGCCTCTGTTTAGACAAACCGAAAAAAAAAACCGAAGTGTTTACATTGTGGCGCCGTGCGTGACGTCGTACATGCTCGCGATATAATCTGCGTAATATCGACAACTTTATTTTACGATTAATACTTTTTTTACTCTTCTCTTTTCTCCAGGTTCACTTATCGAGATCCAGTTATTGAGATCTTATCATTTATCGAGGTTCGTAGATCAGGCTCCGCGCGCTTTGCGATGGAACAGACAGGCGGGCTTTTGTCTGACTGATCTCGGGGGACTGATTCAATGCGAACTGCTGTTAGAGAGGTGCACCTATTCTGGCTCTACTCTAAACAACGGAAGATGCAATGCTGTTCACTTTAGGGCGGGAGAATCTCTCGGAAAAAAATAGAACAAAATTGTGCCATAAAAATCCTATTTGCACCTTGCATCCCAATTCGGTCGGTACGTTTGGGAATTAAATTAGGACAGATTTCACTGACCGGGGTGTCGCCGAAAGTATTGAGCCCAAACATCGCCAAAGCTCGGGGCGCATGGCACTTTGGGATGAAACTTTTCTTGATCAAATATATATTACATTCGAGCAAATTTGTCGCTTGGTCAGTAATAGACTAAATTTAGAGGGAAGTATCGGAGAGAAGCCTCTTAGGCATGCAGAAGTTATTAAGTGATATGAGGTTTAAAAACGCTTCTTCGTCTGTCTCTGTTTTTACTGATTGACTTAGAATTACCTGTCTCTTATCGAATAGCTTGCCTGATGACGTGAGTTAATCTTATGGCGTTGTTTTTTTTTTAAATATTATTAAGGCGTTTGACAAAAATCCGTAAAAGTTCCTGCACCTCTACGCGTACAATTAAAACACGCACTGGTTTGAACAGCCTTGAAACATCACGCAAACTATTTTCATGAATGCCCAATCATAATAGTTTGCAGATTTTCCCCGTTAAATGGAATATTTGCAAAACGGCTGTTGATTGAAAATTGTTCACTCATTTAATGTATCTCCAAGTCCACCGTTTCCTCTCAGGCCTCGCAATGTCAGTATATATATATATATATATATATATATATATATATATATATCATCCAACAAACAAATAGCGGAATCGCCCTGTAGGCTATAGTAGAATAACTGCTTTTAAATCTCGCTGGAGAGGACTCGTTTGACAATACAACACCACCAAATGTCCTACACGCGTGTCAAAAGCGGCGGATACTCAAGTGTCCGCATTTCAGGCAGGACTTACTTCCCGCCGCATACGTGCACATAGAACAAATGTTTCCTTTTATATTCGTGCCTATCGTCAACTTTGTTGGGGTTAGACCCTCGATGACGTAAGACAGTGAAGTGCATAAAGCAAAGACAATGGACATCATTGAAGCTCCATTTCACTACTTCCCGCTGCTCAAAACATCAAATTGGAAAAGTAGAGGTCTTCACAGAGGAAAAATTTTCTGCAAACAAACTAAAAAAAAAAAAAAAAAGAGGCAAAAGCCGGAGCTTCAGTAATGTTTCCACAGCGTGTGATCACGATGTAGTACAAGATCTCCTAGAGTGGATGGTCTTCCAAATGGTAGAAAGGGACAGTACAGATGCGGCGTCGGAGTTGGAGGAAAGGAAAGTCGCCTCGGACACTTTAAAGTGCATCTTTTATTTTTTTTTTTTTTCTTATTTCGGTCTATTAGGGGAACCGTGAAGTTCCAGACCGGATAGTTTGCCCTTTCTTTACTGACGCGCTTTTTTACCTTATTCGCGGACTCTGTTCCCGCTCTCACGTACTTGGCGACTTCGCAACCTTTCGGGAATCGAGAAAAAGAAACGACTTGACTCGTGGCTAAAAAAAGAAAGCGCAATAAAGCTCCCCCGACCGAGTGTCCCTTCGTCGCCGTTGGTTTTTCGCTCAAGGCACGATGCCGTAAAAGCGAAACGTGGTTTCTTTGTGTCAGCCGAGTCTCTGCTGATTGGCCACGCCAAGCAAACTTCCTTTATCTCGAGCAACATTCCTGTTTGTGGGGGAAAGAAAAACCCACGACTGGCATTCAGTATGCGTGGGATACGGCCACCTTCTCGGACGATGCGCAATCCTGCCGGACGTCAAGAAGAGAATTGAACAGGGTTTCGGTTTTTGTTTAGGTTTTTCTGAGAGTCTCACTTTTCTCCTCATCGAGGCGCACTGTTCGTGCGTGACTGCGTGTACATCGAACGTGTCGCGCTCACCGTCTGTCACACGACACAACTCGACCCATATTTCGCCCCGGAATTACGAGAACATAAGAAAGTCAATACGTGTAACGCGGGGCGTCGTGGATTGAGGGGCGAATGTAATCGGGTCTTCGTCGCTTTCGAGGTCTCGACATCCATCATTTATTCAGTTTGTGGATTCATACGAGGGTAAAAGCTAACATTGTCTGACAACGTATTCAACAATCATGCACATTAACTGTACGAGCTTCGTCGGAGAAGTTACAGTAAACTTAGAGCATACACTGTGTTTATTATGTGCACATGTTGCCTACATTATGTGCAGTGCAGCATGTGCACACAATGCATACATTTTGTGAAAATATTTTCACATATTTATTTATTTATTTATTTATGTATACTGCGACCTCAGTTGAGGTCATTGCAGGAGTGGATTACACAACTAAAAACATGAGTAGAGAGAACAATAAACGAGAACATATTCAACAACATAATGATTCGCCAGAAACACCAAACATCAAAGGAAGTCAACTTTCGCGAGTTTTATAACAAAGTCGTCGTACTGGAGCATACGCGTAGAACCGTCAATACTATTCCACAGCTCAACAGTGCGCGGAAAAAAAAGAATTTTGAAACAGTTTACGTGAGAACGAAAGGGTACAATATTTAAGGGATGGTAACGCCTAGTGCGCGAAATATCTGAGAAGGAAATATACTTCATACATTCAATGCCACTTTCATTATTAACAATTCTATACAACAACTTCAATCGCTCGATAGTTCGCCTTAACGATAAAGATTCTAGCCCTAATGTTGGCAAAGCGGATGAAGGTGAAAAGTGTCGATCATATCGATTGGAAATAAATCGGATAGCCTTAGCCTGAACAGAGTCAATGAGATTAATGTCCTTTTTTAAATGAACGTCCCAGACCACTGAACCGTACTCCAAAATCGGCCTCACGAGAGTTTTAAAAGCGGTTAATTTTACCTCTTTAGACGAATTTTTAACATGCGTTTAACATGGCCCAATTTTCTGAGGGCGCGGGAGAAAATATTGCACACAAATGATCAAACTACCCTCTCTCGCCCCCCCCCCCCCCCCCTTTTTCTCAAGTAGTTTTTATTTATGCGTTAGCATTACAACGCTCGTTTTCACGAAAACCCGCCGGTGTCTGTCCGTGTGTCAGCGCCATGCACGACGTCGCGAGGAGAGTGGGGTGGTCTGGAGGTATCGTGAGGTGGCGGGGAGAGAGGAAAAGTGTGACGCGTGCTGACGTCAGCGCTTCGAACCCACACGAGTGTCGCACAGCTGGCGAGGAGTCAGAGACGAGCACGCGCCGCGCAGCTTTGAAATGCGGCCCAGCTCTGTAGCCGCTCCGGTGTTGACACCAAGAGCGACGACGAACAAAAGTCGAGGCCACGCGTTTAATAAATTGAATCCCATGAAAATGCTCACGCACTTCCATCGAATTAATACCATTGATCCGCGAATATATTTTTCCCCCTTTATTTTGTGATAATGTCAAATTAATTTAGTACAACGTTAACGACAACGGGCGAATAGCCTATGTCCTCGATTAGTCAATTCGAAAGCTGTAAGGCGAGCGTTTGAGCAATAGATACGTGTTCGCTGTTGCACGCATGGTCATTGCGCGGTAACGACACAAACGACATTCGTGCCCGCTCGCAAGAACGCACTCGCTACAGTCTGGCTTTTTAAGTGTGGATTGGTTTGTTTCTGCACGAAGAAACGGTCTGAAGACCAGCCTACTGTTTGCAAACTTGAGTCACAAGTGTTTCGCACTGAGCAAAATCAGTTTCTCCTTTATCCGTAGTTCAGTCAATGCGCATGCACAGTCCGCACTCACTGCCGTTGTCTGAAACCAAAACACTCGTCCAGAAACGCGCTTTTTTTTTTTTGTGCAATTGTTTGGATTTTTTTTTTTTTACAGTTGTGAATTGTGTTTTTTGCGAATTTATTGTTGCACCGTTTTATTCATGGTGTACAACGCAGTCCTTGGCGCACGCGTTTTCGCACAGATCAGAGATAAAGCTGCGCGCCCGTGACAGTCACCTTTGTCACAGTTGAACAGCAGTGAACCAATATTTACATATTTAATGCCAAAAAAGCAAAGTGAAAGCAGTTTTGACGTTAGATATTTGAACAGTTTGAGGCATGTCTGCCATGCTGTGGCTACACGGATGTTCCATTTTTGGTGGAAAATTTGGCTCCTGGG